CTGAGTCTCTGGCCTATACCCCAGTTCTGTATGCACAAATAAATAAATCTTAAAAAAAAAAATTCCTCAGGAGATGCCATTTTAGGCCATTAGTCTGATCTACTCTTGTTTCACTTTGTCTATATGCCTTTTAAATTTTGACATAACTGCTTGTGGTATTCCAGGCCTGGCTGGAATAGGGTAGAGCAGGATACTTCACCTCCCTTTGTCTAATGCCTATACTTCTAATAATGCAGCCCAAGGCCACATTATCTCTTTTGCTTGTCATTCCATAGTGTTCTGTCTTAGTGATTTTCACCTAAAGTTTTGGTCTGTTTTATACTATGGCTAAGCCCTTTCTTTTCCTAAAATCTTTTCTTTTGGAAGGGGAAATTCCTCCACCAGGTAGCACTTTATCAAATTACCATACAATTAGAATCTGTATTGTAACCCTGTGGATAATCCCACACTCCCATAAGGCATTTCATACATAATACCTGGAAGTGGGTCATTGCCTCAAAGGCTTATGGCCCGGTCTTTTCTCCTTGCCCCACCAAGTACCACTGGCATCCCGCAGTGTAGAACCCACATGTGGTGTATTCACCAGGCCCCGGCTGGCCTGGTCTCTTCCACAGAACTGCTTGTGGATAACCACGGCAGGGCAGGTCCACCCTGCTTGCTTCTCCCAGTGACCTTTCGAAATCCCTATAATAACCTTTCCGGCTACAGCCACTTATTTTTTTTCTAGTTTCAAAAGAGGAAAATTGTTGTAATGTCTAAGCATGTACATTTTAAAAATGAAGAACAGTTCATTTGCAATCTTGACCGTCTTCGGCAGCTCGCCCCCAGACGCTTTCCCCTAACTAGGATGGTGATGGAATTTTCAAGTGGCCAAGCAGTTGAGGTGTAAACGGAGGAAGGGACTCGTGTGAGGAAGCCGTCGCAACACAAGCTGTGCTCCCACTCTCTCTGCCTTCTCCCGCCGTGACAGCCACCAGGCGTCTCACCGCAAAACCGGAAGGGAGCACTTCCACGCCGCGCGCGCAAGCCCAGGCCCAGCGAGAATTTCTGAGTGGTGCCCTCGGTACTCCAGCCGGCCAGGGACTTATTTTACAGCCAAACCACAAGCATTTATGATGCTATAAACAAACCCCAGCATTTCGGTGGAAAAGTCACAAAACTGTGTTTCAAAAGTAATCATTAGTTGGTTGTTGTTCATTTTTGACATTGAGTAAGATTTTTTGTATGTTCTCTTAAAAAATGAACATTTTAATGGGTGCAGGGTAGCTACGAAAGAAGCCACAGCTTCCTTTCCAGTGTGACCGTCTAAAGCAGGGAGCATGAAACACACAATCGTGGGGATACCGGGTGGCACGTTCAGGTGCCGCGTTTACTCGTCAGGCACTTTCACCCAGGCCTTACAATCCGTGGCTTATAACAACAATCTCAGTGAAAATTGTTACTGTTTTTCATCTTTTAAAATCCTGCTGTATTGATAGAGGATTGCTAGTATTTGCAAAATACCAGAATGTTTTAAGTGCTGTCATAGGTGCTGATAATAAAGATCATGGAGCTGTTGATAATAAAGACACTGTGGTTGTTACCAGCCCAGCCCAGCCCCGCACCCCCGGGGCTCACTGGATGTGTGGCACGGCCACTTTATGTCCACGGAAAGCACACCTGTACCCACCTGTTCGGGACCTGCACACAGATGCCCTCAGGTGTCCGCAGGAGCCACTGCCCTGCCTCTTGGGTTTACTTCAAAGGAATGGCTGCCCAAGAGTTTCACTTTCTTGTGCAAACTTCGTCATTAAGACCTGGGCAGACACTCTTGCGATTTGTTTAAAGCTGTAACTTCACTGGGAAACACTGTGGGTGGAGACCATGTTTTTGTGGACTGTGGAGATAAACCTCCAGCGCAGCTGCGTCCCCACCCTGCCAGCGTCCCCCAACGACTCACACTCCCTGACTTCAGTCAACAGTCCAGCTACATAGGGACCAGCGGGGCCCACAGGTTTGGGCCGTGAGGAGGGCAAGGCCCCTGAGCCCCGAGCGTGCCAAGGGGCACCAATAGATCTTCAGCCCCCCCACAGAGGAAGGGGACCCTCCAAGGGGCGCAGCCAGATCCCACATTTCCAGCCCCGTGGTGGGGCAGGCGTAACTGTCTAGTGGCTGGCGGGACGCGCCCATGGGTGGAGGGAGCAGTTAGGAAGGAGAATGAGTGTCAGCACAGCCTCGTGGACAGAGGCCTTGGGTCCACTGCAGGTGGGGCCAGTTCGCTTGAACACCTGCTGTGTGCAGAGGGCGATGCCATCTAAACCACGCCCTCTGCCCCCCAAACGTCTGCTTGCTCTAGAATTGTGCCAGACTCTGCTCCCCCACCCTTAGCTCAGTTGCCAGGGAGATTCTACGCCCCGGTTTGGCCTTCCACCCTCCGCTCTAGCTCAGGCCTCAGCCCTTGTCTGGGCTGGGACTTGGGTTTAAAATCATAGTGGCCCCCAAACCAGCCTCTGGCTTTCTGCAGCCTCACCCCCTTCACACCATTCGAGTGAGTGAAGCACACACCAGCTGGGGGTCCCCCCCCACTCTGTGTCGGGGCCCTGAGGCTGGCACTGCGCATGGGGGTGTCAGTCCCTGCCAAGGGACCCGGGGGCTGGGGGGAGTTGGTGGTGCTGAGACCGTAGGGCTCAGGAGCTGGCGAGGCACAGACAGGACTTCCTCGGGCTGGCCTGGAAGGGCTATGCTTTCTGGGGTGAGTATAGGTCGCTCACTGAAGGGACCAGGGAAAACTTTTGGAAGCTCTGAGGGCTGAAGAGGAAGGACCTTCTAGAAACTGAAAGTCAAGACTGGGGAGTAGAGAGGCTCTGAGCAGGGCTGGATCAGGAGAACACAGCAGGTGTTCTGCCCAGGCAGAGAGGGCTCAGCCCCCAACCCCCCCAAACTGGGCAGCAGGCTGGTGGAGCAGGTGAGGGTAGCCGGAGCTGCCACGTGGCTCAGGGAAGGGCAAGGGCGGGCTGGAGAAGCTGGGGGTGGAGTAGGCTGTCGGGTGCAGGGTCTGGTGTGGGGCGGAGCATGGGGAGTGAACCCCTACACTGAGGAGCTTACCTTCTAGAAGACAAGCTCTCAGAACAGCCTCCCATGTGAGGGCTGCAGCACCTCCCCTCCCCCACCACTCTGGCACACCTCAGGGAGTGGCAGCCCATGCCAGCCTGGTCCAGCTGCTTAAGCTCCCCCTTTTCCCATCCCCCTCCTTAGAGCCCCCCTTGACGACCACGTGGTGTTGAGAACAAACCTCTGTCATCAGCATGATCCTGGAGCCTGTCACCGTGGTCTATTTTCACATCTCCCCTGAGACCATCACCACCTCCAGGCAGTCCCCCAGGAGTCCATGCGTCTGCACCGGCAGTGCCTGGCACTCAGTGGGTTTTCATGTGGGTTAGATGAACTCAGGGACCCCCATGGCTGTTCCGAATGGGTCTGTGGTAGAGCTCACACGTGTACATGCCCGCCCTCGTGGGTATCCGTGTCTCACGTGCCCGCACAGACAGCTCCCTCATCACAGAGCTGCAGACGGGAAGCGTGCCAGGCCTGGGTCGTGCGGGCAAGACCCCTGTGCCTGAGGGCATCCGTGAGCCGGGACGCGCCGCACAGACCTCGCCCGCTGGGCCTGGGCCTCTGGAATCAATCAGTAAGAAGCATTGCGAAAGGCACTTGGCGGTTTAACAGGCTCAAGACAAATTATTTTTAGCCAAAGTAATTGACACAGTGAAGTCGTTCTTGGCAAAACTAGTATTTTTAACAGTAAAAGAGATTTGACTGTTAAATCAGCCCCCAACAAAAAGTCATTTTATGTAACCAGAATTTTACCATTCTTAGAAAAATATGCCGCGGCGGAGAGGCGTGGGGTACCCGGGCTCCCGTGGAGCCGGACGGATGGCGAGGCCCTGTGCCCACGTCACGAGGGGGAGACTCCAGCCCGCGCCTGGTCGCCCCTGGCTGCGGGCCCGCACCGTGCCCACGACAGACCGGCTCTCGGCGGAGCTTCCCGAATCGGTGCCTTGGCCAGTGTGACCCCGCACGACGGCCCGCACCCCCTGCTACTCAAGCCGGAGGTCTGGCTCTGTGGGTCACGCTTGTGGAAAACGGGCCCCGGCTCGCTCACCCTCACCCCAGTGCAGGCACCGGGCGGCGTGCGTGCGTGTGTGTGTGCGTGTATCTGTGTGTGCGTGTGTGCGCGTGCGTGTGCACGTGTGCGTGTGCGCGCGTGCGTGCATGCGTGCATGCGTGTGTGCGAGTGCCTGTGTGTGTGCGTGTGTGCGTGTGCATGTGTGCGTGCGTGTGTGCGTGAGTGCGTGTGCACGCGTGCGTGCGTGTGTGTGCGTGCGTGCATGCGTGCGTGCGTTCATGCGTGTGTGCGTGTGTCTGTGCGTGCGTGCATGTGTGCATGCGTGTGCATGCGTGCGTGCGTGTGTCTGTGCGTGCGTGTGTGTCTGTGTGTGTGTTGGGGGAGGTGTCTGCGGCCAGAGTCCGAACACGGATGTCGGCCTCCCCACGCAGCCGGGGCCTCGGGTCCAGTCACTGGACGGTGTCCCCGTGTCATCCTCAGCACCCTTGGCTGCTGCTAGGGTCATTTTGACTTGAACTTGGGAAGCCCCAGCGTCCAGCTGACTCGCTGTGGCCCAGGGCCGGTACTGGCCCCGGTGTTCTTAGAGTGTCCAGTCAGCTTAGTACGGAGTATGTTTGATGAGTGAATGACAGAGTCAAAGGCAGAATGTCGGGAGCAGAGGGGGCTCAGGCTGGGGTTGCCCTGCCGCAGGGAGGTTCCTATTTGCTCAAGTCACACCCCTTCCACACTCCCTGAAGCAGAAGTCTCGTTTAACCTCTGCGATTGTGCTCTCCTAAATCTGCTTACCAAGCTCCATGCTGTGGCTCCCGCCCTCCCTGCACAGGGAGACTAACCCTGGCTGAGACTCCCCTCCCTCCGGGCCAGGAGCTCCTGTCCCCCCCACCCCCCTGCGGCACCTGCAGCTTGAGCCCAAGGGTCATCCCAGCGGGGAATGAGAGCCGGTCCTGTGCCTGGTATACTTTGTGGGCAGCCCCTCACCCTCGGCGGCACGCTCCTGTCTGCTGCTACCGGTTTGAGTTCTCTCCTTTGCAGACTGATTCGAGCAATTATTCTTTTGTTTCACAGTCCTTTTAATGATTTTTTACAAAGATTTTTGTTTATTGATGCACAGGGGCACAGTTGCGGTGAGAGGCTTCACCAGAGACAGAGTGGGCAGCTGGACAGGCAGATGGACGAAGCCCACTGCTGGGGGAGCAGCGGTGTCAGGAGAGGGCTGCCGCGCCATGTGGTCACCTCCGGGGCGGGGATCGAACTCACAGTGAAGCAGCTGTGGCCAGCTTGCAGGGCTGCGCTTTAACCTGCAGCGCCACCAGGGAGGGCCCCTTTATCGACTTTTGACTGAGGTAAAGTGCACAGCCCCAGCATTCGCAGAGACGCGCTTAGCATGAAGAACAGCTGTGTGGGGGTGTGCTCTGCCACCTCCGCCCAGCCTCGCACCCCGGAGGCCGGCCCCCCTCTCTCGTTGTGACTCGGACCCCTGTGGGGGCTGGGCGCCCTCTGTGATGGCTTCCTTCACATGCAGCACCTTTTTTTTTTTAATTAATTTATTTTTTTATTTTATAACAGTTTATTTTACATCATTTTGTACATTTTTTTTTCCATCTCAATTGTAATCCCCGCGGATTTCCCATCACCAAGTCACCCGTGTGCCATCACCATAATCCCGTGCACTTCCCTCCCTC